TATGGGCTTAACCTAGCAGTAAATAGAATTGTTAAGTGCTACCAGATACTTGTACCTACACATTTTCAGAATTAGCACTACCAGAGGATTGGGCTGGTAGCGTAAATGTTCAATTCGGGAGAGTGATACAACAAAAAGAAGCTTTAGTCGGCAAAGAAGTCGTGTAAGCGGTAGGAGAGAATCCGTCCTACTACCGTCTTACCCCGCATATAAGGCATATGTGTTCTAAATAAAATACGGGATTCGCTCGACATCTAGCTTAAACCTCAATTTGACCACCTACTTAATTAGAACACATGTGGCTGAAACCTACTTAAAACACAAGGCTGTACCAACCAATGAATATTCTTTGAGAGCTCCCAACCAACCACCCTTTTGAACAAACTTGTCGGTTTGGCTTTAGCTCTCTTATTTTATAATTTACACAGCCATGAGTGCTGAGCGACGTAGCTATAGGTACGTACTGCTGAAAAGGACAACAAGCTGGTGTCCAAATTCTCTTAAACGGTTGAAAATCCTCTGAAAACACTGTGCTTGGTTTGCTCCGGATCATATTTCGCAGTGAAAGTAGGTGGATACATAATATAATACACGTGATTACATGTAATGCATTTGTGCAAACGATTCTTATAAAAAAACAATAGTAGAATTCATAATATTAACAAGCAAAACCTCCGTATACAACGCAGCCACAACAGAAAGAAAAGACCCGCTACCAATCACAACATCATGTGAGCTGCACGCAGGCGGGTTTGAGCCCTACCCGATCGCGTAGGAGGGTCAAGCCTCAACGATCAAGCCAGATTCCAGGACCCACAAACTTGCTTCTTCAAAGTCAAACAATTTGTTCGTTGTACAACACATAGGCTTTCTAAACGAATATAACACACCAGCAGTGTTGTATTCATTTACAGCACATATGCCTTATATGCGGGGTAAGACGGTAGGAGTCCTAAAGTGTCCTATTGTCCTAAAACCTGGGATAAAAAACTAGCAATTCGGCTCATAAACAAACCCATATTTAGGACAACACAATGAGTTTTAGGACGAAACAAGCCAGGGTCCGCGTGTCCTAATAGGACACTCGACAACTGGACACTCAGTCTGTCCTATTAGGACAACACCAAGCCCAACATGCACTGTCCTCAAGCCATATCCTCAACTGGCCTAGCTAGAAACAATAAACATCTTAAAGCCCCTCTCTCCAAGAGCAGCCGATTCTTTGTTGTGCGCGAAAAGCACCTCAACAAAACTTCTCTACTACAAAGTGTGTGACAATATTTTTAAAGTGTTTCAAAGGATGATAGTCATTGAAGGTAATAATAGCCGCTAATAACGGTTGAGCGACTTCAACATGCACATAGCAAACGACGGTTAATAATCAGAACGTGACGACATAGGGGGGGGGCTCAAAAAGCAGCAAAGTACTCGCAAGGGCTACTTGGCTGCAAGTCGATCCGAAGACGAGGTTAGCAAGCGATGGGGGTCTTGGTTAGCGCGGCAGTGTGCTCGGCCTGGTTCGTCGAGCTGTCTGGCGTCGTCGGGGTGTCGACAACAGGTGCGTTTGTGGCAGGCGAGTCCGGGCTGGGAGCCGATGTCGATGGGCAGTTGGACGGCACGTAGACTACCAGGTCGGCCTTCAAGTTGGAACCGACACCGACCGGCAGTTGGCACTCCTCCAGGTTCATGGCCTTCACGTCAGCGAGCAGGGTGTTGCAGGCAGTCGAGGCGCACATCGTGTCAATGGTGGCCTGGTCCGGGATCTCAGTGGTCCGTGCCGCACTGTTGAATGTTCGCGCTCGTGAGCAGAGCGGACAAGACACTGCTTCCGCAGGTGGCAGCAGAGGCCAGATAGGCGAGCGCCCTAGCTGCAGAAGGAGTAGCCGCAATGGTCCATGATGCTTGGCTGCAGTAGTGGAGATTCAGAAATGGTTGGGACAATAAGTAAAGCCAATGTGAGTTTTAAGTAACTCTTACGTAAATTTACGTAGATAGTCCGGAAAAAGTTAATATTTGAGGTTTAGGACAATCTGGAGGACACAAATTATAATATTCTGTAACGAAGGATTAGTCGCTTTTTAGGACACATCTCCAAAATCTCCCTGTAAAATTTAGGACAAATAGGACAGTTTAGGACGTGTCTTAGGACGCATTATCCTACACCGTGTAAGCTCCTCTGATTACCCTGCTCATTCATTTTTCTGAGTAAGACTTACTCGAATCTCTTCACTCTTTATATAGTGTGAGCTCGATCACTTCACAACATCTCGCCATCCAACTCACGTTCGTCCAAGCAGCGAAAGCTGCAGGTATCCAACTATTTGTGCCAACAGAGGTATGGAAATTGAGGGGGGGGCGGGGATTTTCTTGTCACCATGCTAACTACCCCCGTTTATGTCTTACAGTTTGGATTTCGTGAAGCGGACGGAACCAACACCGTACAAGAAGGAGGTTCGCGATCTTCTGAAGAAACATGAACTGCCTTTTACCTCTTCCACAGTGGTCTGTGGTCTGAGTACTTGCCGTTGTGAGTCTACCTTTGCAACAGTGAGTGGGTGTCTTCGCCAAATAACAGGCTGTTCATGTTTACTCGTAGCTTCCTGGGGTACAATTTCGACGAAGGCTTCATCAGCGTTGTGGGTGAGGGTGACGCCAAGCTGAGTATCGTAACGCGCGCGGGTTGCAGCCGCTTCGTCGCGCACGTGTTGGTCACTGCGACGAAGAGTTCCCTCGAGGGAGCTCAGCTGTCGTTCGAGTCTGCCAGAGTATCGCCAAAGGAGATCACTGCCCAACTAGAGAAGAAGTTGGGGAAGAAGCTTCAGATCAAGCTGGTGGATTACGAGGAGACGAAGAAAGGCTACGACACCAACCCCGTGGCGTACATTCAAACGCGCATATTAATAGCGGATGGACGTGGCATCTCGGGGACGGAGGACGAGGTGAAGGCCACGATTGCCAAGTTCTTCCCTGACTGGAACCCGTCACCTTGGCAGGAGATCATCGCGTAAGGTGATGGATACGTAAGTGTACGGCTATCCATTTTTTAGTATCTAGCTTATAGTACTAAGTGAACAGCTCGCCTGCAAAATTAAAATCAATGGTATCGATATTTTTACACCAGTACAGTTCAAATACCAGTAGATCAATCTCTATTTGAGTAGTTATATATTTCTTTGCACAACCTGGAGACTTTTGAAGATCAGAGTTACGACGGTAAGCGATTTCGAACCACTCACCGCCGTTGATTCCTGAGCGTGTGGCACTGAAATGTGTTAGTGGTCGAGAAACCTTGTCCTTAAGAGCTAGTATTTTCCATGGTGAGGTACAAGCTGCACCGTACAACATGCGAACAATATTGTCCTTCTCTCGCTCGATCCGTACGATACCCGAATCAGAAGACTGCTGGTGAGAACAGGGCCCCTTCTAGCAATACATGTACAGACCTCATAATGTTGGACCCGCAATCAATTTGTGAGTGTGTGTCAGGCAACGAGTGGATCAGCTTAGGCAAATTTAACAAGGATCCCGAGTGTAATCATTTCTATCTTTGCGAACTTAGCAAGGTTAACTACTTCAAAAACAAGAAGTACAGAACCCAATGAGCGAACCGACTTTGTTGTCCGTACTTCGCCAGGGTAAGAGGTATAATTAAGCTGCCTGCTCACCGAGCAGTGCTTAGTGAGTTAGTGGAGTTCATTTTCGAATTGAGCAGAGCCGACTCATATCATTTCTCAATTCGCGCCAAGAAGCACCTTTGTGTCGCTGCTATCGCCTCGATCAGTGCTGTCAGCGCTTTTGACATTATCGATCAAGTTGAACCGCTCATGCAACCCGGTGCTACCACTATCGAGGAAAAGACAGCTGTCAAGTACAAGCCGCAGCTCCGCATCGAGGATGGATGCCACTCATATCCTGCCGTTGAGGATGATGGGACAGTCAGTGCAGGACTGAAATGGTCTGGCTACCACGATGGAGGCTGCAAGGGATCTTCGTAAGGGTCGCAAGTGTACTCGCGCAGTGGCTCCTACAAGGACACGAACGCCATCATGTACGCATGGTACTTTCCCAAAGGAAAGGACCGTTCGCACAAGCACCATGATGGTCACCGCCATGACTGGGAGTTTGCTGTCATTTGGCTGGACGGTTCTTCAGCGAACGAGTCTGTGATTGTCGGTGTCTCGACGACTATCGGTGGCAAATTTCGCCACGAGGTTCCGCTACAGCCAACGCACGTGGTTGGTTCAAGCGTCAAGCTCGAATCCTATTCGACTTGCTGGGGCGCTAAGCAGGGGCTCCGCCTCACCAAGAAGAGGGGGAGATTTTCAAGATCTTATCCAGTGGAAGCAGCTCACTAAAGCAGCTCGGGAGGCATTAAACAAAGCCAGTTTTGACACTGGTGAAGTCAAGACGCCGGTTGTAGTTCCATTTAACGACAACTACTTCCAAGCAAGGCTTGCAGCAAGTTACCCGTTCGGAAGAGAAGTCTAGATAAGCCAGGGTAGCTGTGGGGCACGATTAAGTCGGTTGTCGAGCATGAATTCGGTTGGTACTTTATAATAACTTGGGTACCACCTCCATGCTGAACTAACAGTAAAATATATTAATAAACTCTTTCACTTAAAAGAGAAAATTTCTTTTAGTCATGTGAACCTACTCATGATCATTTACAATTGTTAGTACTATCGGAAAATACGAGAATCTATCATAAAATATCATAGAATGAAACCTTGTAACTATTATTAAAAAAATATCCTAACATTAGATCGAGCCTGTCCACGCTGTTAATACTGAGAATTTGAATTTCAAACTCTCAGTATTAACAGATCCGCTTCGATACGCATTCGATGCGTTATTCTGTGACGAACTACAGAGCGCTGAACCAAAGAACCACGTGTAAACTCTGTAAAACGCGGGTGCAAAGTGAATATATTCGATTGGCCAAAACATGCCGATAAAACGGGTCAAGTGCAATGACAGCTACTTTGCCGTATCTGGTCGCCTTACTCAAACGGATAACTAGCCGCGACTTTCTCTTGAAAATAGTTGTCGTTGAATGGCACTACGACGGGGGTCTTAGCTTTGTCGGTGTCAAAGTCGGCATCATTAAGTGCTGTTTGAGCTGCTTTAGGGAGCTGCTCCCACTGAATGAGATCTTGGATATCGCCCTTTTTCTTGGTGAGGCGGAGGCCCTGCTTGGCGCTCCAGAAGGTCGAATAGGATTCCAGCTTGATGTGTGAGCCGACTACATGCACCGGTTGAAGCGGAACTTCGTCGTGCAAGTCTCTACCGATGTTCGTCGTGACACCGGCAATTGATGAGTCGGTATCCGAATCACGGTCAAACCAGATGATGCCGAACTCCCAGTCGTGGCGGTGTTCATCATGGTGTTTGCGGGAGTGACCTTTCCCTTTAGGGAAGTACCATGCGTACATGATGGCGTATTTGTCCTTGTAGGAACCACCGCGCGAGTAAACTTGCGATCCCCTAGGCGATTTCTTGCAGTGTCCGTTGTGATCGCCAGACCATTCCAGTCCTGCGCTGATTGTCCCATCCTCCTCAACAGCGGGGTACGGGTGGCATCCGTCCTCGATGTAAAGCTGAGGCTTGTATTTGACAGCAGCCTTTTCCTTGGTGGTAGCAGCATTGGGCTGTGCGAAAGGGCGAACTTGGTCATGATCAATTGTTTCAAAGGCATGGACGGCACTGAGCGAGGCGATAATGGAGGTAAAGACGGGAAAGAATCTCATCTTAGCTCAACTAGGAGTAATTCGAAAGTGAACTGCACTAACTAGCTCGAGAATGAATCGAACAGCAATTTCTATTTGTTGCTAGAAAGGATTGAAATGATTCGCGCTCCGAATTATCTACTGGATTTGCTTTATCGGAAGCTGGTCCGATCCAGAGCTCGCCCCGAGATCGGTTTTTTCTTGTAAATTTATTAAAAAAGTAAGATGTTACATGTACGATACACTTTCACCAGATACAAGCCTTGAAGACAACAAAGAAGACAACGCTATGCCATATGTATTGGAGTAAGCCATCAGTAGCAGTAAGAGCTGCAATGCTGACCGAGGGCGCAATTTTGATTGCAGTATATCAGCATGTCTTGCATGCTTCAAACCCAACAGCTTCTTAAAATTAACGGGGGATAAGTGCTTTCGAATCGGGTTGAGCAGGTAGCCGGTTTGGTGTGAGGGCTGCAGTATGTATTGCCATATTGTAACTGCTGGCTTTGCAAGTTGTATTGATCAATGCCAATATTTGTAATACGTTTTTACTCGTCACTGGCCGCGACAAATCAAAGCAAGCAGTGGTAAAGGTTTAGTTGCTTGTACGCTCTTTGTTGAAACCGTGCTGAAGTTCTCCATGGAGCAAAAGCGTAATTGTCTCTCACTATGCAAGTGCGAGGTGACACTGGGGCTGGGCCGCTGGTTCTCATCAGGGATTACACTACCGATTTATTTTAAAGCATACTCACGTACCGGTAGCATATTTTCCAGTTTTTTACTGAAAGCCTGTACAATCCGATATATTTTTCACTTTCGTTCTTATGTGTCCCACGCAATTCTAACAGCTCAACGGAACCTCTTCCTTTGGTCACAGTCATGTCGGTGCAAGGTCGTCGAGGCAACGTACGTGCTGTCAGTCTGCGCCACTTGTTCGGCATCTCCTCTCTAACCTCAGTGACATTCCACAGGCTCGTCTTCCGCCGGAAGTGAACCGCGTGTTGTACGTGCGTAATTTGCCATTCAAAATCTCCTCCGAAGAGTTATACGACATTTTCGGCAAGTACGGAGCCATCCGGCAGATCCGTTTGGGCGTCAACAACGACACTCGAGGCACAGCCTTCGTCGTCTACGAGGATATTTACGATGCCAAGAACGCGGTGGACCATTTGTCGGGCTTCAACGTCTGTGGTCGCTACCTCATCGTGCTGTACTACCAGGCCAACAAGATGCAACAGCGTAAGGGCGCAGTCGACATTAACAAGCAGAAAAAGGAGCTACAGGATCTGAAGGACAAGTATGGTGTCGAGTGAAGAGGCTTACGCAAAGAAACAGATAGCAGCTAATTCTTACTAGTTTCTTTCATCGCCTTTGGTAACTCAATTTTTTTTCGTTTGTTTTCCTTAAAAAAGGGTGGTGCTAATAACTCTGGTACAATTAAAACAAAGTCGAGGCTTACCTGAAGCTGATGTCGATGGAGGTGTCTAATTAAAGGAATGAGCGCAAAAGAGGTCTTTCATGGCGAATTTCACCTACAATTTGTAAGATATCTCTTTGTTTTTATCAAAATGAGAAGGCATTCTTTCACATTGCTCTGAAAATAAATTTTAGAGAATATCTCTTTCGCTAGACGCAGATGCGTATCAGCTCTTTTCTATTTCATCGGATCGAGGAGATGCGAGGTGCGTGGACATGGCTTGTGTATGTAGCAAAGCGGGGCAGAATCGAACAGTGTCTGCAGGCCACAAACTCGAGTTGTCGTTGTCGACCACCGCCACATTTTGACCACTAAACTCAAGGCGATTGACGCAGGGTTCCAGTGATGCAAGAATCTCTCGAACGTGTTTGTCGAATACTCGTCGGATCGCAGCAGTAGGCAAGGTACGCTTTCCAGAATCGAAGCGGTCTACACTGTCTCGAGAAGCGAAGTGTGGTTTACATAAACGGAAGAGCTCTTCACGCATCGTCGATTGACGCACTGGAGGCAAGAACACATCTCCTCCGCCTGTAAGTGAGTCACGGTCCAAGTTGACTACAACCAGATCGTTTGAAGGTCTTGGCATGTCGCTACGACGCACATAAGACTCGTGGAGTCCAAAGATGAACGGTGTGGGGCAATGCAGACAGTCTTTGAGCGGTAATGGCAACACGGGGACATACACGTGACTCCACACGAGCGGATGGAGCAGCGCTCTTAACGCTTCACTTGCACAGAATAATACCGTGTAGCTCGATGCCACCAGGATGATCTTTTTCTCCAATAGAACGAAAGCAAAGAGTCGAAGTACATTCGTCAATGATAAACTATCGAAGAGATCGTCAAGTTTAAAATCAAGACTCGGAAGCTCATCGATAGATTGAGAGGGAAAATGATTTCCCATAGCAATTGCAGCCTTCATCACTTGATCACAATGATCCGTAACTTCAGTGTTGCTGCGTATGTCTCTCCACAATGCACTTAGGAAATGGCGCATGGAATCTACGAGTGGGAACTTGGAGATGACGCAAAGGCCACTTGGTAAGTCTTGAGTGCCCAGCGCACTGCTTTGCTCTGCTGGCAGCCACATGACTGCACCGTGGACAGCACTAGAGCCACTTCCAGCGATGAAGTTGAATGCCAATGACCTTGAAGCTTCAGGGTGGGCGTTCGATGGATTCAAGAATGGCTGGATCGTTTGAAAAGAAACTTGCTGTGCCGTTGCGTTACTTGTATGAGGTGAGATATCTGTGAGCTTGATGGAGTTGTCGGGTAGAGCCGTGATAACGAATACTTGACACTCAGCTCGAGCGAACAAAGTGACGGGATCTTCATCGTGCTGTGCTCTCAGCAGCTCTAAACTATGAGGATTCGCTGCTTTAGGCTGCTGATAGAATGGGATTCGAGCAGCACGAAGCAAAGTCTCTATGTTCCCGGGGCCAGATCTGTTAGCAAAAAAGTTGCGATAGACGACACTGTCCGCAAAATTGACGTAACTTTTGGTACCAAGCACACGGAACTCTCGCTCAACTTCTCGAGCCAACTGGAGAAGTGCTGAGATTGCCTTCTCGACATGAGTACCAGCTGTCATCTCGCTGTTTAATACTTTTTGGTCGAGTAGAGTTTGTATCGCAATGGAGAGTTGAGCCTTGGCGCGACTTGCAGCAGGTGACGCCACAGGAACGCCATTATTTACTCCATTCAGGGAGACGAAGCGGGGGTGCAGTCGTTTTAGACGAGCCACTAGTTTCTTGAAATCCATCTCTTTATCTGTAGATTCGTTGGCTACTACATGTAGGTTTTGGTAGAGTGGCGTTATTCGAAAGGTAGTCTCAATCAAAAAGCTCAGGCGTTGATGATGCTGCTGGTGCCGACCAACAGACGAGCTGTACAGATGAGTCCACAACACCAAGCAGCTCCATTCATCTGACAACACCTCGTCCAATGAAAAGCGTGTTTCTGGTAGAGGTACCTGGCTTAGTGACGCAGCAGAATGGGCTTTCGAGATTGACCCATTCGACGCTACGATGGCATTTGTCCTGGGTGGTAGGTCGGTCGTAGCAGCTCGCTGACGACCGCTTTCTGGCGAGGTGAAGGCTTCAAAGTTGCCTTTTGAATCGTTGGTAATTGCAGCTGCGCGTAGCTGGTTTACTGTGGCGTGAGGGGAAGATGGGGTAGATGTGGTGGCTGCGGCTACTTTCTCGAAAAAGTTATCGAACAGGGAATTGGATTCAATATTTGGTACAGATCGTCGTCGGCCGACAGCAACATGTGTCTTTGTTGCATCGATCGGTGAACGAGGACTCGGTGGAGTGCACAATTCACTGTCGACAACAAAGTGGGATTCATCGGAAGTAGTAAGGTGTTTCTGGTCACTTGTCGCGCTGGGCTCCCCCATTTCGCCATGAAGCCAGCTGACGAGTCCTCCTTTCTGTTGAAAGGCGGAGAGAGCACGTTTATGCTGTCGAGCCACCTGATGCGTCTTGCCTTTCAGTGAGGCAGCCGCAGCACTTAGAGCGGACAATGTACTGTTTGAGTTCCTCGTTGGAATTGTGTTTCGAGGCGAGCTAGAATGCCAACTCCCACTTCGCGTAGGTGGCCCAATTGTTACCGACGTAGAAGATTGGTGCGGGGTGATAGTCGCGGCGTCATTTCCGTGCCTTGGCACTTCATTCCGCTGTTGCAGTTCGAGCTCAAGCTTCGATGAAGATATCGTCACTGACCGGAAGTCATCGGTGACGCTTCCCAAATTTTGCAGCGGTTGAACTGAAGCTTCCGAGAAGGATTGCAGGGTGGATGCGCTCCATGTTTTTTCCACAGAGGGCACGTCAGCACACGTTGCGTCTGCCATTGAGCCTTGTTTCGTGAGTGCAGTGCGCTAAACCGTTCAAAAGCCGCGACCGTTATGCACATGTTTCTATTCCAAACAACCCTACTGTCGCCCTAAAAATAACTGGCAGATCGCTTTCCATAACTTTGCGGAGTTTAGGATACTTGCACAACATTTTTCTGTTGAAGTGACCACCAACAGATGCACATTTGAAAAAAAAACTTCTATTAAGATTACCGGTACAAGCTTTCATGAATGCAGTATATTTTTTTTCATGAAACAATTTATACCCACAACACCGGATTCAAGCACGTAGCATCCGTCACACTGTCTACATTTCTGTAGCAAGTCGCATTTGCATTGAACCCACCAGCCTCACGTCCGTTGCATACATGAACCTGTTCGTGGCCACCAAGCGCTCATTTCTCGATTTTCCTCTTCGAGCACAAATCCAAGTGAAGGACCTGCATTCAAGACCATGCAAGTCACGACCGTGCTCTCACTATTGGCGGCGTGGACGACCATTTCGTCGGCACAGTCTCACATCCGTTGCCAGAACACTATTGGTGGCCCTTGCGGTGACAGTTCTCGCCCTCGCGAGATGAACTGCTGCGACTATGGCTATTGCCAGCCGTGGAACTCAGGCTACTACCAATGCATCGACAAGCCCGAGCTCTGTCCGAACCAAGAGACTGACATTGATTACAACGGGAGCGATCTGCAGACCATCTACGGAATCCAGCCGGACGCTTGCTGTGCCAAATGCGCTGATACCAGCGGCTGTGCCGCGTATACTTTCGTGAACCAAAATTCCGACGGCAGGACGGCGTGTTACCTCAAGACGTCGACATCCGGTCGTGTCGAAAAGAAGGGAGCGGTGTCTGCCGCTTACAAGGATTTCAACGCGAGTTGCCAAGCGAAACTCTGGCATAGTTGTGGCAACTCGAATGGAGTCACTTGCTGTCCGGACAATGCGTACTGCCAGCCGTGGGACTCTAAATACTACCAATGTATCGGTCGTCCGGACAAATGCCCTGATCAAGAGGTTGACGTCGACTTCTACGGCAACGATCTCCAGACTATCTACGGGTTATACCCGACTGATTGCTGTGAGAGATGTACCAAAACTAGTGGCTGCGCTGCCTACACCTTCATCAATGAGAACGCTGATGGTAGGACGGCGTGTTACCTCAAGTCATCGACGGCTGGACGTAGAGCGAAGAAGGGAGCTGTCTCCGCTGCGTACAAGGACTTCACGGAGCCTACGTGTCCTGCGAAGATCGGAGACTCGTGTGGCAACTCCAATAGTGGCCCTACCTGCTGCCCGAGCGGATCCTTCTGTCAGCCGTGGAACGCAGGCTACTACCAGTGTGTTGCAGCGCCGGAATGGTGCCCAGACGTCCAGGTGGGAGTGGATTACTACGGTGACGACCTGAGCATGAAGAAAGGTTTGCAGCCTGATTTGTGCTGTCAGGCGTGTCTGGACGACGCGAAGTGCAAGGCCCTCACTTTTGTGAGCAAGAACGACGATGGTCAGAGCGCGTGCTACCTCAAAACTGGCTTTGGCACCCGTAAGAGCCACCCAGGAGCGATATCTGCTTACAAAATCGAAGCGGTTGAGTAACCAAGGGGCTAACACTCGAGAAACTTGATAGGCAGCTTTCAAGTAGCTTCCAGTACAGAACAACCATGAGTTTTCAGTAAACAGAAATTTACATGCTGGTCACACTCTGTTCTTTTGGGACTTAAAGATTTATAAGATGTTTTTTTTTTCATTTCGGACGGGATGAAAAAATCTTTTCCCGGCAGTTGGTACTTCGAAGTAACTTTTTTTTCGGTAAAACTTCAAATCTGATAAGGAAAAACAAAAAGGCAGAATGTAAAATTCCCGAGACCAGGTTTGATTCTAGCATTATCAAAATAACTAGGGCTCAGATAGTTATGCCGAACTACTGTAGATCTCCCAGAGAAACTGAGATTGAGCGACTTCAGCAATGGTCCGCGTGAGCAAGGAGGTAATACTACAGTTTCTAGCAGCATTGTAGCAGTGCTTGCTGACCCCTGACCTGGCCTGACCCGTATCCGACCCAAAATTATCTAGATTAGCTTAAATCAAATAGGACTTTGTTTTGACAAAAACAATATTAAAAAAAAGAAAAAATACTCGAATATTAAACTTTAATTATTGCAAGCACCTTCCTTACAGTTTTTTGCAATCCAGTCAAACCTAAAAGACAAGTCCGCGCCTACATTTTGTAGCCCCCGCTAAGACACAGTTATTGAGGGGGGGGGGGAATCGTTAACGAAACGTACCAAAATGCGTAACTCGAAAAGTAAGCGTGAACATCATCCATAGGATCAGTTTCGACAACACGAATGGCATTTGGGTTCGCAATACAAAAGCCAGCTGATAATACGCGTCGATGCCACAATTACGCTTCATGACGAACGCCAGAGCGATAAAGGAGAGAAGCTCAAGTGCTGCGTAGATGAGCACACTTGACACCGTGTTCGCGACATTTTCACGAGTCACGCTAGCCATTTCTGTGTGGTATTGTGCACCAGGCAAGTGTGTCATGGCAAACAAAAATGTGCCATAAAGTACAGGAACAACGATTTCCAGATACTCGGTTAGAATGAGACATTCAGCTGTAAAAAGAACTTCGAGAGCCTCCTGGAGAGCATCAGAGCCGTCGACGATCCATGAGTTTAGCTCACTTGATTCCTTATCTCCGTTAACAAGATCATCTCCTTGTGTCTTCTTTGGGGCGACTGATACTGTAGGATGAGGATGAACAGCAACAGCACTTCGACCGTGATCAGGGATCGCGACCAATCGCTGAGGTGACGTAGAGATTCTATTCAGCGAATGATGAACAAGATTTGTAGGCGGACAGGCAGCCGAACACCTCTCCAGTTGCGCCAATACAGTCCTTTCCTGGTGTGATAGTTGATGGGGAATACACGATCGCACTTGAATTTCTTGGTTTTGAAGTATCTTCGAGTTGAAACAAATCAATCGAGCAAAAGCTAGTAGACTGAAGCTATCAACATTATCGCGAATACGAGCAGCCCTGTGAAGACGCGCTGGAATGTGTTGTGTGCGGTGAAAGAGCTCGAATAGATCGATCGCTGTCTGAGCGATATCGACAGCCAATATGATCCCAAATGACACAGCAGACAGACTCGGCATGCATGTAACTAAGTACAACGCATCGAAAAAATCGACCGTAAATATTACTTGTTCAGGAACCATATCCCATTTTTTTAAAGCTGCAAGCGCAAACAACCGCTTCGTGATGATCTTGAAAATTGGGAGTAGCAAAAGCACTGGAACTTCGTAGACAGTATGGTTTACTTTGTTGAAGAGAATCTGAAAAGCTGGGTACCCAAGGATCATAATTCCCAGCAGGTTCGACACATAATACAATTGACGCAGTTCGTCACGCTTTGAAAGTATTCGCCGAAATGCGCGAGTGCCCACCACAGCACAAAGAAGCAGCAGGAACAGCCAGGACATTGAAATTAACAGAGAAAGAAGAAAGAAAGGCACAGGGAAAACCCACAGCTCTGAAGTTGCCATGCCCACTACGAGTAACGCGGTTGACACACAGACGCAATACACCAGCTTTTGCCTCGAAGAAAGCGCTGGTACGTCAAGCCACGGCCCTACAAGATCTGCCTTAACTGAGCCCAATACGAAGCCAATTATCCACACACGAGGCCAAAATCCGTAATTTGCCTTCCACCCGGTCGTTGGATCCTGCAGTGGAATGCTTTCTTGGCATATTACAATGGAGATTGTGATCAGGGGAGGCGTCAGGATCAGCAAAGCGACACGAATTAGTGACGTTGTACGGGCGAACTCTGAGAGCGCCAATGTCCGCTCGATAAAGTATTTGCCACCATAGTGAGTGAGCTGCAAGGCCTGCCATGCGCGGAGAATTTTGCTCCAGAAATCGTCGAGAACCATTCGTTGTTTCCACCAAGACGTAGCGTCTGCGCCTTAGCTAATCTTGAATCCTGTAACAAAATAACGAAGGTCACCGATAGCGAAGTACGTGGCCTCTCGTTTGCTACTTACTGCACCTGCTACTTGGTTGAATTCCTCTTTTTCACAACTATTTTTAAAGATCCTCCTTCGAAGTGAATGTTGCAAAAGCTACCCCTTATGATAATGGAAACCGGTTACCTCATAGTAATTCTTGTTTTGACAAAATTGTTAGCCGAATGTGCAGTATTCGAAATACGTTTGGATGTTCCAGTTGGCGATTTCCACAACTATGCTCAAGCGCCATCTCTCAATGGCACCGCGCCTTCCCACACTCAAGCTCAGGTCTGCGTCCGTGTTGTTTGTCGCAATGGCTCTGAAATTCTCCGCTTGCCGCATGTCGTAGCCATCCTCCACGCGTTTCTGGACTGCTCTCGTGAAATCTCGCTGCCCAGCGCTTGTAGTGCCAATTTCATGCATTTGCTATGTCGGAAGCTCTCCGCACTTGCCAATGAGAGTGCCAATAGCAAAATTTTGCTTCCAAAGTTTCAAGAATACCAGTTTTCAGCTGCAATGGCGAATGCTATCAGTTTGGGGAATCTAAAAATGGTGCAGCTATTGTCGGCATACTTTAAGGGTTTCGTGTCTACACGAGCTCTGGATGAATTGATCAATCGGAAATTGTCCACTGGTTATGGATTACTATCTTCGCATGAGGTTGACCGATGGTGTCGTTTGGCGTTGCAGTCGCTATTAATAATAACCATTTTGAGCTGGCCAAGTGGCTTGTGACACGGGTGGGGGAAGACGAAGCATATGTGCTTTGGCAATTGCTGCGAAGAATGGAAACCTGGAAATACTCCAGTGGGTGTGCACTTTTATCGAAAAATGTAGATCTTAAGGAAGCTTGGAAAGCTGCGATGAAAACCTGCCACTTGCAGCTGGTCAAGTGGATTTTGCAGCAGCCCGGCGTCATATCGCGCGATTTAGATTTCTTGCTTGACAGTGCGTATTCCAATGGCCACGTTGGCCTTCTTGAATGGGTCATTTAACGTTATTTTTAAGGGTATCGAACGCTGATGTTCAAGCTGCTGCTGATGGATGCTTGGATATCGTGCGTCTTCTTCATGAGAACAACGTTGATGGATGCAGTAGAAACGCAATGCAAGCGGGGGGCATTTGGATATTGTAAAATGGTTGCGTATTTGTAAGCACGTTCCAGAGTTCGGGGAAACGGACACCAAGGCTATTTCAAATGCAGCTAAGAATGGCTTCTTGGATACTGTCAAATGGCTACGTGACAACACGTCTGAAGGATGCGATACTAATGGACTGCCGGCTTGACGTCATAAAATGGCTACACCACAATCGCTCGGAAGGTTGCACTATTATAATATAGTCTTGCAATGGATTATGCGGCTGGTAATGGACATCTGGAAATGCAGTGGCTAAGTGTTAACAGGAAGGCAGGATGCACTACAAAAGCGATGGATGCGGCAGCTGCCAGCGACTACCTAGACGTTGTAAAGTGGCTTCATTCTGACAGAACTGAAAGGTGTACGACAAGGGATTTGGACAGTGCTGCAAAAAGTGGACACCTGGAAGTGGTGAGTGCCAATCGATCCGAAGGGCTATGGATCGTGCAGACGTCTTGACGTCGTAATATGGCTCCACAACAACAGAGACGAAGGGTGTACAGTTACTGCGATGAATGCTGTCGCTGGAAGCGGTTACATGGCCGTGGTCGAGTGGCTGCATACCAATTGAAGCGAAGGCTGCACCACTTGTGCAATGGATGCAATCAATACCGGAATGTGGTCGATTGGCTTGATCAGAATCGGACGGAAGGTTGTACTGCCGCCACAATGACCGCATTTGCCACTCAAGGCCACATCAAAGGAGTTCGCTGGTGCCTTGAGATCGGTCGACCGTTGAATGCTGTCGCAATTAAACGTGCTGTGCTAAATGGCCATTTCGAAGTTGCGTGGCTTCTTCATCCATATGGACAGAGGACCCGGTGTAACGTCATTCGAGCTTTAAACGAATGCACTTATTGGAATCGCCGATGGGAGCTCGGTGAGTGGCTGTACTCACACCACAAATTTGTAGCTCTATGGCTAACAACTTTTACTCTTTGAGTGATAATGCCATCTGAAAGGCCCAGTATTGAAAGCTGTTGATAGGACGCTACAGCTACAGCTACAATCGTTTGTTTTCTTATTTTATCTTACCAGTGAAAAATAAAAAATCGTCAAAAAGTTCATTGGAATTTTAGTAATAGTCATCTTGCTCTTCTTGATACTCGTTCTCCTCGCCCTCGTCTGGGTAGTCCGGAGCGTCGTCTTTTTGAACATCATCTTCATTGTCGTGACGCTCGTCCGTCTCCTCGTCGTAAAGATGCACTCGCCGGACGTGTGCATCGCCTTCGTCCTCATCATGGCCATGTCCTGAGTTGGCTGCTACGATCGAACGCTGCATCTGTTCTTCCTCTTCTTCACTTTCGCCTTCGTCGACGACTCGAACCTGTCTGCTGCGTTTCCGAGGTCTATCTTGAGTCACATTCTCACAAGGAGAGAAAGCTGCGTCTAAGTGACGTCGTGTGTCTTCTTCATCGGACTCTTCGCTCTCAAACCACTGCTCCCGCTTCACCTTTCGGCTCGAATTTCGAGGAAATGCGTCGACTTCTTCCTCTTTAATGGCGTCCTCGTTATCATTACCACGTTCATTATGCTCGTCTTCGTCGTTATTTCCCGGTTCCTCCTCGTCACCTTCGTCTTCATCCTCGCTATCCACGATTTGATTCGCATTTCGCCGACGAGGTCTAGCCACCTCCAGAGTGCCATGCTGCTCCTCGTCTTTCTCTTCGTCAGCAGCATCCACGTCTGCTTCTCCATCCGAAGAGAACGCAGCTTCTTCGACTACGCGAGCATTGCGACGACCTGGCCGCACTTCCTCCTCCGCTTCTTCACTCCCATCATGCTCCTCGTGTTCGGAAACTTCTTCCTCGTCATGCTCGTCGACAAATTGAACGTCACGTTCGGTGCGTCGACCAGCTTGCTGCCGTCCAACGCGTTGCTGCTCTCGCTCTTCATCAGCTGCTTCGTCGTCGCTGTGGTATTGCCACTGATCCTCCGCTTCGTCATCAGAGAAGCGACCAACTGGCTGCTCAGTGCGTACATTCAGATCGTCCACAATGAACGAGTCATCCGAGTCATTCCCTTCGTCGTAATCGTCCTCGTTGTCACTTCCATGCTCTCTTCTCCGATTACGACGACTAGCGTCTCTAGCTTCGTCGTTGATGAGACCCACATAGTCAGCGACAGGGGTGTCGGAAACCTCGTGTGGCTCACGCAATCGCGTAGTAATACTGAGCTTCAGTCCGTACAGATCGTCCGAAAAACGGAAAGTATACATCCCTAGCCAACACAAAACAAAAAACATATACAGTATCTGAATAAGTAAACACACAGCAGCTCTTCTTGACTATATTTTCGTACCACCCGGAACGTCGAGACGTAAGCCTGGGAAGCTCACCACGCCTCCTCGAGCGCCACGAGTTCGCTCCATCACGCAGTTATTCTGTCCACAGGTTAAATAAAAGATGAGCATCATAATGGCTACATAGAAGCAGCTTGACGGACCGCTTCATCACAGACGCGGAGTCTGATTTCGTTGTAGTACGAGCCGCAGACGAAGCCGTCGTCGTCTCCGTCTTCGTTCATGAAGAACGGCATCCCGTCCGCCGCTTCCTCGTCCTCCTCCATCTTGATCACGTTCACGGAGCACTCCTGGTGCTCATTGTACAGTTCAAAAAGGCTCGGGAACTCCACGATAGCAAGGCCCACACGCATATTCACATAGCCGTCCTCGTTCTCGTCGTTCGTGTCCAGCACAATATTCCGCAGCACGCTCAAGTTTCCATCCCGAGTGTCCTCGACTTTGACCACGGGATACTCGTCGTGTCCTTCATGATCCTCTTCCCATCGAGCGGCGGGTTCCGCGTCGTCCTCGTCCTGGTCTCCGTGGTATCTCGCTGCTTGCTCACTGAGGTTAAATAATGTCCACTTACTGTCCAATTCAATGAGTTTTTGTTTGAATTCCTGTTCTTCCTCCTCTTGGTACGTAGAAATTCGCTCGGCGACTGACGGGATGAGGAGCTGAAGCACAATAATTGAAACACTTTACTTAGATATCCCCAGTTTATATAACCCTTAAAAAATAATATAACACTTACTTGGACGAGATTCCATAGCGTCACATTGACGGAAAATAACGACACCATTGTTTTTAGCGTCGAGAATGGCTGCAGGATGTCAAGGCGACAGATGGGACACTGTGCTTCTTCAATTGGTCGCGTCAAGAACGAGTCCATTAGACACACACGGCTGCAATTTAGAAATGTTAGAAATAAATTTCATAATTAACGCAAAAATACTGAGATACTTTACCAGAACGAGTGGCCGCAGATCGCTGACACTGGCTATAGAGCAGCAAATTCCACATTAACGGCTAGATTTGTTTCTTTTAGTCGAATAAATTGCTTACCTTGAACATTGCATACTGGCAAATGATGCACTGGAGCTCTGCTTCCAATGTGGCTGGCGTCACGTATCCTTGGGCTGCCATGACGGCGTCCGTGTTAGCTCTTGATCGCTCGGACTGGCCGTTGGAGGACTCTTCGCTGTCCACGAACACAACGTCGTCCTCGTGGCTTTGTTCTCCATCGCTGCCAGTTCCCTGGTGTTCATTGGCTGCCTCTGTGTTGCCCATGAATTGCACCTCGTCCTCACTCTCCTCCTGTTTGTGTTCTTCTTCTTCGTGGTGTTCCTCGTCTGAGTCTAGCTCTATGACGTCCTGCTCCTCTGTCCCTTCTTCTGTTCTCTCTCCGTTGTTCTCTACATCTTTATCTTCTTCTTCTTTGCTCCGCTCGCCCTCCATCGTCACGCCAACGTCGTGGGGCGATGCCATTTAATCAATTTCTGGCGTCAGCTTAAAAAAAAACATTCGCGCCAATATTGTACACAAACATTTGCAATTGAAAATGACATTACAAACGTTTTATTTCAAAATGAGCTGAAGTGCAAATTTTCATAATTGAGGACGTTTTTTGTCGTGGCATTGTTGCGAGAACAATGCAAGAGAATAGCTATGTAAAGCACACTACCGGCTCGATTTCTACTTGGTATTTTGTCTATTATTACTCGTATATATTTTTTCTCGTGATCAATCTCTACAAGAGTGATATTTCAAAAAGAGACACACATGTGTATGTATTAATTCATGTACTGGTCTCCAAATCGCAAAATCCAGTAAAATAGAATTTTTAACGAAGCCAGTTTGAGTTTTAGTGCTGTAAGTGTATTACACACAAGCCGAGCGCCGCTGCTACACGATGGTAGTTTGGATTTTCGATAACTTACCAGGCGGAAAGGCCATAACAAGTAGAACTTATCGACGGTAAGTATTTCAGGAAACGCTAGCTTGTGGGAGGGCGCGCGAAACGAAAAGTGCCGCCCCCGCACTTCAGGCGGATGGAACCTTCTAGAAGGTTCCACGGCCGCCCTACATCTACCTTTCTGTATTGCATACTGAATCTAAGTTAAATTGAGCCTGCCTCTGATTGGCTACAACTCTACACCTATCATATCTAATATACTCACCCTCCCTCTGGCGTGCGCGTCCCCTCAGTCTTGCCATTCCCGAAATTGCGCTGTAGGCCAGAGATGCCGTTCTCCGTCGGATTGGTCCGACCCCGGGTGTCCCACGCCTGCCTTGTGCGGGCCTGTTCACTTGGGGCTTGGATAGGTCTGTCCGAAGGAATGGCCGTGCCTCCTGCGTCTGCTGCTGTGCTGCTGCTGCTAGCCCGGCTTCCGCCGCTCTCTCGCCTCGCTCGCCGACCGTACGGCCTGTGGTGCTTCCAAGCGACTCTTTGGTGGCACCACCGGCCGGTATGGCCTCGATCGCTTCGTCCGACCCCACACGACGGATGAGGAACTCCTTAAGAGCCTCCTCGACTGGGGCCCCAACAGCGACTTCGGATCCCGTGCTCGTGCTCGTTCGATGACGCCGCCTGCTCCTGCTGCAGTCCCTGTTTTTCCGGCTGCCATGGCCGATGTTCCTTCTGGTGCTGTGACTTCGCCGTCACCTGTAGGGGTTTGTGGCTCCATCGTCCGCTATACGGGCTCCTGTGGATCCATCCCCAAGCGACACGGCTCCACGACCGCTTCGGCTACGCCTCACTATGCCTGTGCGCGTCGCCACCCACCGTGCTCCAGCAACTCATCTACGAGGTCACGATCGAAGGGTTGTGTGGAGATGACGTTGGTGGTGATGTCGCGGACGATGATGCTGGCGATGATAGTGTTGCTGCTGAGGATGCTCCTCTTCAAGAGGTGGGATTGATTAACGACGAAGATAAGAAGAACACACAACGATCTAAGCGCGATCGGCTTCGTTGTGGCGATGAGACTTCGGACTGGCATTTCTTTCCGCTTCCCAAAGCTCCGGAGAGACATCCAATCACGAACAATCGCAACCACTACAATCCGGATGCTCCTTGGGACTATGCGAGCTCGGCTGGGATTACACGCTTGCTTGATGTCGAAGGCGAATCTCCGCACCGCTGCTATCTTGTTCGGTGGAAGGGTCGTCCGCTGCCGATGAGCTGGGTCTAAATAGAGTTTCTGGACAAGGAATCACGTGCCTCGGCGGTGGCTGGCACGGCGGCACTCCCAAAGATTGCTATTGACACTACTGTTTGCGTAACGCCTCATTACGACTACGGATCCATGGATACGGCTTGATATACAGCCAACCAGCGCGACGTGCCTCGGCCGTGGCTGGCACAGCGGCGCCCAAGACTTTAGAAATCTCGGTGCTGTGCGCGGTGATAGGTGTGTGGTATGAGCTTGGTGGCTTGTGCTGAACGTGTTGAAGGGCTGTCCCCTGTACCGTTCTAGCTGATGACAACTGGTTCGCACCATGTGCTTGTTGTTGTGCTGGCGTGTTTAAAGCTTAAAAAAAAGCTTGCAGACTGTATTTAATTTTGTTATCGAGTATTAAATTAAAATACATGTAGATGCAAGCTTGTTTCTTCTGTTTAATCTTCTTCAGCTTCAGCTTCGATGTAGACTAGCTCGACTTTGCGGTGCTTGCGGTGCCGGTACTTCTTCAACTCCCCGGAAGGGAGATTAGGTGATGGTTCCGAGGTAGGCTATCTGGTGGTTTAGAGCTCCACCCTTCCATTAATACGTCTGTCGTTCAAAAGGGTCCCCATTTAGTAGTTCGGACGTCCTTGAACGTCTACCTCACTTGGTAGGACCCACTCTACCTCGCCCGCATCATTTCCTTGGGTTGCAGCTTCGATCAGGCGGACCTTGGTGATGCGCGGGTGAGAAACCGCATCAAGCAGCCGCTTGATTGCGTCCCCGGTATTTGAGGGCGCTCCTGCTTGGATGAGACCTCGTAATCTGAAATACCGGGATAAGAAATCCCGGTGCTGTGCGCGGTGATAGGTGTGAGGTGTGAGTTTGGTGGCTTGTGCTGAACGTGTTGAAGGGCTGTCCCCTGTACCGTTCTAGCTGATGGCAACTGGTTCGCACCATGTGCTTGTTGTTGTGCTGGCGTGTTCAAAGCTTAAAGAAAAGCTTGCAAACTGTATTTAGTTTTGTTATCGAGTAGTAAATCAAAATACATGTAGATGCAAGCTTTTTCTTCTGTTTAATCTTCTTCTGCTTCAGCTTCGATGTAGACTAGCTCGACTTTGCGGCGCTTGCGGTGCCGGTACTTCTTCAACTCCCCGGAAGGGAGATTAGGTGATGGTTCCGAGGTAGGCGCCTTGGTGGTTTAGAGCTCCACCCTTCCATTAATACGTCTGTCGTTCAAAATGGTCCCCATTTAGTAGTTCGGACGTCCTTGAACGTCTACCTCACTTGGTAGGACCCACTCTACCTCGCCCGCATCATTTCCTTGGGTTGCAGCTTCGATCAGGCGGACCTTGGTGATGCGCGGGTGAGAAACCGCATCAAGCAGCCGCTTGATTGCGTCCCCGGTATTTGAGGGCGCTCCTGCTTGGATGAGACCGCATAATCTGAAATACCGGGATAAGAAATCCCGGTGCTGTGCGCGGTGATAGGTGTGTGGTGTGAGTTTGGTGGCTTGTGCTGAACGTGTTGAAGGGCTGTCCCCGGTACCGTTCTAGCTGATGGCAACTGGCTCGCATAATGTGCTTGTTGTTGTGCTGGCGTGTTCAAAGCTTAAAGAAAAGCTTGCAAACTGTATTTAATTTTGTTATCGAGTAGTAGATCAAAATACATGTAGATGCAAGCTTGTTTCTTCTAATTAATCTTCTTCGGCTTCAACTTCGATGTAGACTAGCTCGACTTTGCGGCGCTTGCGGTGCCGGTACTTCTTCAACTCCCCGGAAGGGAGATTAGGTGATGGTTCCGAGGTAGGCTCCCTGGTGGTTTAGAGCTCCACCCTTCCATTAATACGTCTGTCTTCCAAAATGGCCCCCATTTAGTAGTTCGGACGTCCTTGAACGTCTACCTCACTTGGTAGGACCCACTCTACCTCGCCCGCATCATTTCCTTGGGTTGCAGCTTCGATCAGGCGGACCTTGGTGATGCGCGGGTGAGAAACCGCATCAAGCAGCCGCTTGATTGCGTCCCCGGTATTTGAGGGCGCTCCTGCTTGGATGAGACCGCATAATCTGAAATACCGGGATAAGAAATCCCGGAGCTGTGCGCGGTGATAGGTGTGTGGTGTGAGCTTGGTGGCTTGTGCTGAACGTGTTGAAGGGCTGTCCCCTGTACCGTTCTAGCTGATGGCAACTGGTTCGCACCATGTGCTTGTTGTTGTGCTGGCGTGTTCAAAGCTTAAAGAAAAGCTTGCAAACTGTATTTAATTTTGTTATCGAGTAGTAAATCAAAATACATGTAGATGCAAGCTTGTTTCTTCTAATTAATCTTCTTCGGCTTCAACTTCGATGTAGACTAGCTCGACTTTGCGGCGCTTGCGGTGCCGGTACTTCTTCAACTCCCCGGAAGGGAGATTAGGTGATGGTTCCGAGGTAGGCTATCTGGTGGTTTAGAGCTCCACCCTTCCATTAATACGTCTGTCGTTCAAAAGGGTCCCCATTTAGTAGTTCGGACGTCCTTGAACGTCTACCTCACTTGGTAGGACCCACTCTACCTCGCCCGCATCATTTCCTTGGGTTGCAGCTTCGATCAGGCGGACCTTGGTGATGCGCGGGTGAGAAACCGCATCAAGCAGCCGCTTGATTGCGTCCCCGGTATTTGAGGGCGCTCCTGCTTGGATGAGACCTCATAATCTGAAATACCGGGATAAGAAATCCCGGTGCTGTGCGCGGTGATAGGTGTGTGGTGTGAGCTTGGTGGCTTGTGCTGAACGTGTTGAAGGGCTATCCCCTGTACCGTTCTAGCTGATGGCAACTGGTTCGCATAATGTGCTTGTTGTTGTGCTGGCGTGTTCAAAGCTTAAAGAAAAGCTTGCAAACTGTATTTAATTTTGTTATCGAGTAGTAAATCAAAATACATGTAGATGCAAGCTTGTTTCTTCTGTTTAATCTTCTTCAGCTTCAGCTTCGATGTAGACTAGCTCGACTTTGCGGCGCTTGCGGTGCCGGTACTTCTTCAACTCCCCGGAAGGGAGATTAGATGATGGTTCCAAGGTAGGCGCCTTGGTGGTTTAGAGCTCCACCCTTCCATTAATACGTCTGTCTTCCAAAATGGTCCCCATTTAGTAGTTCGGAGGTCCTTGAACGTCTACCTCACTTGGTAGGACCCACTCTACCTCGCCCGCATCATTTCCTTGGGTTGCAGCTTCGATCAGGCGGACATCGGTGATGCGCGGGTGAGAAACCGCATCAAGCAGCCGCTTGATTGCGTCCCCGGTATTTGAGGGCGCTCCTGCTTGGATGAGACCGCATAATCTGAAATACCGGGATA